ATTGGGTTGTTTGTTTTCTTCATGTTGCGTTTTAAGATTCCTTTGTGTATTTTGGATAGAAGCCTTTATCAGATAAGTTTTTGCAAATATTTTCTCGCACTGGTGTATCTTTTTATTCTTTTAACAGTGTCTTTCAAACATCAGAAGATTTTATTTTTAATGAAGTACAGCTTATCAATTTTTTTCTTCATGGATCGGGCTTTTGGGGTTGTATCTAAAAAGTCATTGCTAAACCCAAGGCCGCCTAGATTTTCTCCTGTATTATCTTCTAGAAGTTTTACAATTTTGCGTTTTACATTAGGTATATTATTCATATTGAGTTAACTTTTGTGAAAGGTTAAGGTCTGTGTCTAGATTCATTTTTTTGCATGTGGATGTCCGGTATTCCAGCACCATTTGTTGAAAAACGATCTTTTTTTTCATTGTACTGCCTTTGCTTTTTTGGCAAAGATCACTCGACTATATTTATGGGGGTCTATTTCCAGGCTCTCTGTTCTGTTCCATGGATCTATTTGTCTAATCTTTCACCAGCACCACACTGTCAATCACTGTAGTTCTATTGAAGTCTTAGAATTGGGTGGCATCAGTCCTCTGACTTTGTTTTCCTTTACTATTATGTTGGCCATTTGGGGACTTTTGCCTTTACATATAAACTTAAGAATTAATTTGTCAATATCCATGAAGTAACTTGCCGAGGTTTTGATTGAGATTGCACTGAATCTGTAAGATAAGCAATTGTGAAATTTCCTGGCTCACACTATTCTCTAACAGTCAGTCGTGTTGACGCAAATTCTGCACATGTTGTATCAGAACTGACTGTATACAGACATAAATATATTTCTTGTGAGCCGTTTGAAAGTAAATGCAGATATAATGATACTTCACTCCTAAATACTTGTGTATAAACTCCCCACATAACCACAATGTTATTACCCTGAGGGTAATAACGTTAACTCATCAATTAGCTTTTAAAAAACATGCCTCTCCTTCATAAAGCTGGGTTTTTGTTTGGTTGGTTTTGTTTTTAATGCCTGTCCTGTGATATTGCACTGTGCTGTGCGGGGATGTGCAGATAAACTAGCCAAGTTTCTGCCTTTAGGAAGTCCAGTCTCCTGGGGACACAGAATCTAAGACAATGGTTCCATTAGGCTGGGAGGAGGACTGCAGGAGCTTTATCTACTTTCCTTTCATTCGAGGAGTGTATCAGCAGAGATGGTCTTCCCGCAGGGAAAGGACTCTTCACAGAGTGGTGTTCTGTGGCCCGGGCTCCATTCCATGATTCCATTCCATGATTCGATGGACCTTTCTTCCCAACCCCGACGGGCTCGCATCTGTCTAGAAGTGATGAATGTAATGGACAGGATGTCATTCACTGCGCCCGAATCTTTCGGTTTCTGTGCAGTGAGGGGTGGCCAGGCACAGAGGAACAAGGAGCAAGCCTTTGAGAACCAGGCTGAGGAATGGGGACTTTATTTTACAGGTCAGCTGTATCAAGTAAGACATGGCTTTGGCCATGAAGACTGGAGAGCCAAGTGAACAGTGGCTTGATCAAGATGGGAGTGTTTTCTTTTCCATGTAACAGTCAGGAGATAGCTGGTCCAGGGCCAGCATGCCGGCTCAGATCCATGAGGTCATCCAGGGACCCAGGCTTACGTTGGCTGTTGTTCCGTCATCACCTCCATGATATGTAGGCGGATGCCCTCACTTGCATGATTCAGAATGGCTTGTCGCCCCATCCACATTGCAGACAATAGGATGGAGGAAGGGGCAGCGTACTTCTTCCCTTTAAGGCACATTTTGGAAACTACACACCTCACTTCTGTCCACATCCCATTGGCCAGAATTTACTTATATAGCCATACCTATAAGCAAGAAGGTACCGAGAAGCAAAGTTGTTATTTGGAAGGCCATGTGCCAAGCTAAAAATAGGAGGTTCTATTTCCTATAAGAAAGGAAAATGGAATACTAAGTGTCATCTTGTAGCCCCTTATACTAGCATTTCTGAAAAAAACAAAATCTTTCTATAAAGGTCCCTTACGATGACGCTTCTTAAAAATAGATTTATTAGCCAAATAATTTGGGGAGCATTAAACACTATATTCATCTCATAGAGATTCACAATGCAGAGTAACATATTAAAGGCTCTGAGAAGTTCTGCAGTAATAATGTATCTATCTTTGTTTAACCCAAACAAAGGTTTATTTGGCTAAAAATCCCCTTTTAAAAAACTTGCTTTATGTTTTGCAGAAGCCCTGTTAACCTAAGTGTTGGAAAACGCTGCTTTGGGAATTGTTGATGTTTTCTTAGTTTGCAGAGATGCAAACATTTTTATAGCAGTTCCACTTCTGGGGATGTGGTCAACAGATGTGTGCTTCTTGTGTTAGTCGAGGTTTAATCAAAGAAACAGAACCACTGGGAGATATGTGAAGGGGTTCATTTCAGGAATTTGATGTTACACAACTGTGGGAGCTGGCTGGACACTGTGTGTAAGGCTATTGGCTTGGTGTCTGATGCTGGAGCTTGACGTTACTGGGTGAGCAGTTAAGGAAGAAGAGAGTAAAGTTGGGGAGAAGGAGAACAAGGTGGAACTCATGAGGATGGATGGGCACGTGGGTCAGGCCATCTCTGCCTCCGGCTTTCATGGTGTGGGTGTTCTGATGAAGCTGATGGCTTTCCTTGTGGAACTAAACACGCTCCCGGCTTAGGAGTCAGAAAAACTGGAAAAGGATCCAAGGAGAGGTGGCTCCAGCATCAGAGGCCTGGCTGCCACCCCTACAGTGCGGCGAGCCTGCAGCTGAGCCACGTGAGCTGCCTGGTGCTCCTGCACCGAGCTTCTGATGTAAATACAGCATGGCTGCTGCTTCACTTCCCACTTCCGCCTCCCCAGTCTCAACAGGAAACATACAAGGAAAGGAGGGGATTCTGAGAAACAGCGGAGCTCGGCCTAGCCAAGTGTATTCACCTAATGACAAGGACAGGATGGTTGACAGCAGTGCTTCTTATAAGAGCTTCAAACTGAAAATAAGCTAAATGTGTGTGGACAGTTACATAGATAATACATTGTTACAGCATGCATCAGATGGAAGTAATAAATGAACAAACTCTTGCTCCATGCATCAGCGTGGATGAAGCTTGCGAAAACTATTGTGCAAGACAGACACAAAAGAATGCAAACTATGATTGCATTGATACAGATTTCAAAACCAGCAAAGCTAATGTAGTGTTAGAAATCAGGATAAGAGTTACTTTTGAGAGAGGGCTAACGGCTTAATGACTTAGCGGGGGCACAAAGGGGCTTCTGTGCTTTGCATCTTGGTCTGGGGGCCAGCTACACAGGTATGTGTTTGTTGGGAAATTTTGCTGAGCTTATAGTTACAATTCGCGCACTTTTCTATACTTCAGTAAAAAGTTAAGGTAAAGTTTTTGAGTAGTTATTGAGGAGTCATGGACAGGCTGGGTTGGGAGAAAGAAACTGTATTACAGCTGCTTGAACCCAGTAGAGTGACAAGGTAGGGGGGGACACGGCAGCCGATACTGGCCGATTAGGTGAGTGAGCAGGACAGAGGCGACCTGGGGGTTATAGCATCTCCATCCCGAGTTGTCCCTTTCCTCAGCCAGCCATCTGTTGCCATCATGAAGGGTTAGGACCATGTACACAGATGCCCAGGCAGGTTCATCAGCAGAGTCACCTGTGTAGGATGAGGAGCAGTTTGTGACCCTGTACATCAGTGGTTCTCAACCTTTCACAGGGGTCACCTAAGACCATCGGAAAACACATATTTTCGATGGTTTTAGGAACCGAGACACCGCTCCTCTATCCGTCTCCAGGCCCACATGCAGATATGCCCACATATGAGTACCCGGCAACCCCTGTGAAAGGGTCGTTCGACCCCCAAAGGGGTCGCGATCCACAGGTTGAGAACTGATGCTGTAGATGAAGGGTACCCCCCCTGGCAGAGGCAGAAAGCCACTGGACTAGGAGGCAGTAGACATTGACGGTGAGGGGAAAGGATAAGAATGGGGGGGGGTTGTTTCTCTAAACTTGACCTTTCTCCCGAAATTCACCCCTCTTGCAGAGTGCAGCCTGCTTTTTCTTGCCTTGCCTTTCTGTTGTATGACATCGTAATTCCCTTTTTCATGCTTTTTGTTTTAGCTCATTCATTAGTTGGTCAGATTCACAACCTCTCTCTTGAAAATAAATTGCTCGAAAGTGTCTTAGGCTGTTGAATATGGGAGAGGGTAACCCCTTATGTCTGCCGGGCCAGAGACTGTATTGTGTGTAGGTAGACTGGGTGTGCAATACCCCTGATGCCCCAAACAATTACCTGAAAGCATTGTTTTCCGGGATTATAGTTGGTGTATCTAATGGAAATTAGGATTTACAGTGCTGATGATAAACTTGCTCTAAAATGAAATCTCACAAGTAGCTTCGTATTTTTATTTTGAGAATTCTGACTATGCATGAAAATAGGGAATATTCTCTAGTATTCTCTCAAGCCTCTAGGTAACACTGTGCAATTCGCCTGTTCCCTCAGTCTGATGGTTGCTCCTCACTGCTTTCTAAAATCCCACGTTAGCCTCTGTCATAGCAACGTACCCCCCAAAACTATAATCGGTGGTCTTCTTGTCTGTCTCTGTGTTTATCTCTGGACTCGAACTTTCTTGAGGTCAGAGACTGTATCTTATTTGACTTTGTAGCTCCAACATCTAGCCTAGTGGAAACTCAGTAATTAATGATGAGTGAATGAGCCCTGAAATGCTGGAAGCAAAGAATGGATGGCTGAACCTTAGTGGAGGGCCTCATCTGGGGAGAGAGGAGAAGGAATTGGGGCTCTCTGAAGTTACTCAGGAACTTGGCCAGCATGTGGGTGACAGATGACATGACCTGCTGGAGCGCCTTGATGGTGGAGTCACCAGCACATTTCTTGAGAAGCCACGTGTGCAGAGCCCTTTTCCTTGAATGATTGTCTCTTTTAACTCGTGGCCTTTCTTCCCTGCAGGAAACATGGTGGAGTGGTGTTTACCTCAAGATATTGACCTCGAAGGTGTTGAGTTCAAGTCGATGGCCAGTGGGTCGCATAAAATCCAGTCTGATTTTATGTAAGTAGTTCTGAAGGAAGTCTTCTCTGTACCACTTCCTCCCTGCCCTCTACTCTCCTCAGAGCATAAGGGCTTTTATCAGGGGTTCTTCAAGAGGCGTGTGTCAATGCCCTGAAAATATATGTATAGTTCTGTGTTTATATCCGTTTTCTAGCACGAAGGTCCCTAGCTTTCATTAGGTTCTCTATGGATTTCGTGACCCCCAAAAAGTTAAGAATTCTTACCACAGAGGCTTTCTCCCTAAGATATCACTGGGCCTCACTTGAGGTTTCGCTTTAATGAAAGAATGGTTTAGTTATGGTTAACTCAAGACATTCATGTGCTAAAACTTGAAATTCCAGCTTTAAGTAAGACCAGTTTATAGTCCTGTGTAATAAAGATTCTTGTGGGCCGGGGAGGGGCAAACAGAAAGAACGGAAGGGTAATGAAGTAGCTTTAACCTTCTCGTTGGGCTGAGACAAGTGTGAGACAGGGGAAGGAAATGAAGTGACAGCTCTGGTCATGTGCTCCATTAAAAACACCAGGGACTCAGGAAGTGAGGAAAGAATCAACAGGGTTTATAGAACAGAGTCCTGGCTCCAGACGGGCCTGAAGATGAATCTTGGTCCTGGCTCTCCCATCAAGTCCTTAGCTGTTGTGCAGGAGAGGATAAGGGGTGTATTTATGGTCATGGGCAGTCGTGCAGCAGGCTTGCTAGAGGTCAAGTCCTGGCTCCAGCCGGAGGACCCTTGCCGGGTTCCATGATTTCTTTGAGCCTTGGTTGTCTCATCTGTGAGGCTGAGCAGCTTCGGCTAATTGTTCCCCTCTGAGATTCTAAAAAAGCGTGGTTTTTTTTAGGCTGAGCTTTCTCATGGAGACCCTGGACACAGTTTTTTCTTGGAGATTGCACCTCAGAGGAAAAAAAAAAACAAAGTAAAACAAAAGGTCTGTGTCTAATTTTTGAGCCTCACTCCGTCTTTGGTCCATTTTAGCTATTTCCGGAAAGGGCCCTTCTTCGGCCTGGCCTGCTTCGCCAACATGCCTGTGGACAGCGAGCTGGAGCGCGGCGCCCGCATGAAGTCAGTGGGCATCCTTTCTCCGTCCTACACCCTGCTTTACCGGTACATGCACTTCCTGGAGAACCAGGTTCGGTACGTGGCTTACAACCGCGCACGGGGTGGCCATAGGGACCGGCCAGTTGGTGCGTTTTGATGAGTCCTGGGGATAAAGGTTGTGTGCCAAACCACCAGGTGCCTTTCCAAGAACATCAGTGGCTGTGTTTCCCGCCTCAGGTGGTGGTGCTGGTTTTGTTTCAATCAGCATCCTGCATAATAATTGTTTACCGTATAATGAAAGCTGGGGCACATTTTGCCTTCAGTTTATATTAACACTGTCATCAGTTTGGTCGAATGAAATAATTTGTTGTCCTGTGCGTGATTCCTGTTACCCTAAAGCCACCATAATTACCTCCTCGCCCCAGGGAGGCAAACGTACACCAAAAAATTTTTAAGCCTCACCATTTCTTATTTGGGGTAATAGGGAGCGATTTTCTTTTTTAATCAGAAGCAGCAAAAGTACTAGTCATTTAATATTCTTTTTCATTATGCAAGTAATCTAATTTCATTTCAAAGTCTGAGGCAGAAAGCTATCCCTAATCCCTAAAGCACTGTCAAAATTTTAGCACATTTGCCTCTTTTCTGCTGTGGATGTGTGTGTGTGTGTGTACTTAAAAAAAATGTACACTTGACATACATATATCTTTTTCTGTATTCTCTGAAAAATTCCTAGTTTTGCATCTTAGAAGTAATACTGTAGAGTAGAAAAGAACATTATCATTCGGATTCTGATCCTTTTAAAAATGAGTCTTCGTTTTGAAAAAAAAATATTAATTTCTCAAATAGGCAATACATTCTCATGGTTCAAAAGCCAAAAATTATAAGGCATTATTATATTAGTTTGGGTCCTAGTTAAATGGTGAAAACAAGCCCCAAGATATAATGGCTTAGATAAGCTAGAATATTCTTTCTCTCTCACGGAACAGTCTAGACTCTACAGGGAGGCAGGTGGGCAGGGTGGGCAGCCTTTATTAACAACATCACACTGAATTCTCATGACCAAGTACCATTTCACATGTAAGCAGAGTATGTGGACATTCCATTTCCAGAAATAAAATTGGGGGTTCAAAGGGTATGTGTTGTGTGTGTGTGTGTGTGTGTGTGTGTGTGTGTATATAGATATATATTTAAACAGATGTTGTCTAATTGCTTTCCTTAGAGATTGTACCATTTTGTACTATTTTGAATGCCCAACAGTCAAGTTTTCTCCAATATTGCCAACCCCAAAAGTAAAACTTTTGGATTTTTGGCATTTTGATGGGTAAAACATGGTACATTGAATATAGTTTTAATTTGCATTTTTCTTCTTATGAGTGACATTGAGTTTGAGTCATTTGTCTTTTCCATGAATTGTTCCTAGCTTTTGCTAAGAACTTTTTCTTTTTTCTTCTTTTTTTTTTTGGTTGTTGGCCTTTTCTTATTAATTTCTAGGACTTCTTTGTATAATGGAAGGTTTGTTCTTTGTGACATAAATTGAAAATATTTTTCCACTTTGTCATTTATCTTTTTATATTACTTTTTTTGTCATGCAGGTGCCTTCCTTCACTGAATTCATTTCTCTTTTTCTGGCTTCTAGGTTTTGAGTCATAATTAGAAAGGTTTTCCGCATAGTGATTAAAGAGGACACAAGGTAACATGAGAGAAGAGATTTGCATGAGAGAGTACGAGGAAAAAAAAGAAGCATAGTGCGGGCAGCCCAGTCAGGGAGGGATAATACTCAACTGCAGCAATGACGTTTATATAAACTAACTCGACTTGATTTCTGAAAACACCTAATCTGTGTTTTATATTCACTCTTATTTCTGACATCCCAAACTTACTTATTAGTATTTCATTTACAACTCTTGGCTTCAGTATCGCTCTAGTTAGAGACTTCTTACTATGACTGTTTCTTAATAATCAGAAGACATTGAAGAGCTATTTCATAATTTAAAACAATAAATCATAAACAGGAAGAGGGGGTATTATCAAATAAAAGGGATCCCTGCATTTTTGGACCTTGCTTAGATCTTGATTCAAACAACCAGCTGTAAACGACATTTTGGGGACAGTTGGTATAATTTGGATGAAGACCGAGTATAAGTTTATATTAAGGCATTATCAATTTTGTTAGGCAAGATAATGGCAGGGCAATTATGTTATTTTAAAAATAGACTTTATCAGTTAGAGATGCATACCAAAGTATTTATGGATAAAATGTTATGATAAGGGATTTGCTTTAAAACATTTCAGGAAAAAGAGTGGCGGGGAGATAGGGTATAGATGTAACCACATTGATAAAGTAAAGTTGGAGCTAAGTGATCATGGGGTTTCTTTTCTTTTTTTTACTTTTTGTGTACATTTCAAAATTTCCATCATGAAAAGTTTGAAAATACTAAATATAACATTAACATAGCTATTGTGGAAAACTTTGAAAAATAGACAAAAGCTCAAAGAACGATTCCATCAGTCAGACATATCTACTATTAACTTTTATATCCTTCTAGTCTTTTTCCCATGTATAAGTATATACATATACATTAATAAAAAAGAAATTAAATATCAATTAACTCAATCTCTAAATTTTCAAGTCATTCAGTATCTAAATTTTTCGCTCTTGGTATATTAACCTTTCAGTATTTCCTGAATGGTCGCTCTCAACGTCATTTTGGTGGTTTCATAGCATTTAGGTAGATAGACATATCACCATTTATTTAACTATCTCATCATTTGGGGGTTTTTAGGTTGTTTCTTATTTTTGGCCTCTGTAAATATAACCAACCCCCCCCCAGCCCCAGTGGGCAGATGATTGTTCGTTCATATCTACATACAGTTCTTTAGGCCACATTCCTGGAAATGGAATCACTGGGTCCAAGGGTATATACAGTGTTAGTTTGATGCAAATTGCAAATAACCCTTCAGAAAGGTGGCACTGTTTTGTACTTGCACCAGCAGTAAATGGGAATGCCTGTTTTTCTGTACTTGCAAAGTCGGAAGACATGCTTGTTCAGACCAGTAATGAATACGTCTGTGTGATGAAGGGTAACCGTTGCGCAGAGGAGTCCCTGATTCTTACGTTGGGTGCATGACCGCTCGGTGTGGTGTGGGAAGGCAGAGGTCGTTGTCGTGGGCAGCTGCAGGGTCCCATAAGCTTATGTATCAGTGCAGGGGCTATTGGCTTACAGAGAGCACCAGTGCCTCTGGTCCTGCCGGGGAATTCTTGGTCCGGCCCAGAAGCCTGTGACTTTGGATCAATAGCATATATTGTGCCAGTTATTCTCCAGTTCTCAGAGTGTCATGTTTCCTGGACAGTTTCCATAGATGCTCGGCCTACATTTCCGCGTGGCAGTTTCTTAACTTGTGCAACCTTATAGGTAAGGTCAACAGGAAGGTCTCCTGTTGCATCATCTTTGAAGTCCAGCTTACGTCCGGCACCCTCTCAGCCTTGTTTCAGTGTCTTTCGGTTTATCTTGGTATCATGGTTTGATGACCAATCCGGTTTATTGCAAAATCTATAGTGTGTTTAAATTCTGAGGCTTTTATGCGGGAACGGCCAATTTGTATTGATGTCTGTGTTTATATTCTCTATTCCATATCATTGCCTACTCTTTTCCATCCATCAGGGGATATATCTTAGGCTGTCAGAGGACAGGATCTTGAAACAAGCTTTTTGTCGAAGGGACTCTAACTTAGTCATGAGCTTTTCTATAGAATCTTGGTTCAAATATAGCATTTGAAGTGGCCAAACAGAAAAGACAGGCAGTGGGACAGAAAATCAACAATGAACCTAGAAAACAAAAACGTATTACATAAATTACCTTGATGCAGCCCCTTTTCACTCAGAAAATGTAGTATTAAAAATAGAATACAATGATTCTCAGTGTTCTTTTTTAGGAAAACGAGGGCCTAACGAAAACACTTTGAACTTCATCATCTTTATGTTCTTTTATATTAACCCTCCGTTGGGCGCAACTGATCTCACAGATTCATTGCACACAAATTTTCAAATATCTAGCAGTTAACTTAAACATCGTGACTTATTGTGTCCATATCTTCCCCCTCTACCGTAGCCTATCACCAGTCGTGTTTGTGACTTAGCACAGTAAAGACGTACTTCATAGTGGCATCTTTGTGTGCAATGAATCTGTGAGATCAGTTGCACCCAACGGAGGGTTAATTGAACTTGCCTCAATTTAACACACACCCCTGAAAAGCATCTGAAATCCGCCATCTTCTCAGAGTAGACAGACCCAACCTCACCATCATGGATTTCCCATCTATGCACAGACATTCATGAGAATGAAAGAAATCATGATAAGTGCCCCCTCCCAGGGTCATTTATTATTACATCACATGTCTGCTTTCTTGTGCAAAGCTTAACACAATGTCTAGAACCCCCAAATTAGAGAGCTATTCCTCAGAGAGGAACTTATTTTAGTAATCATTTTTTTCTGAATGGAGTTGATTTTTTTTTTCTTTTTAAGATGTAAATTTGCCTGAAGGTCTCCTCCTCCTGGGTTTGCCCAGCAGCTTCCATATTTACCCTATTCCTGAGCCCTCACTGTGCGTCTCGCTAGATCCTGCAGAATAGCCAGGAGGAAGGTACCTGATGTTCTGGGAGTGACTGGCACATGTCACAAACTGTGTGAGGCCCTTTTCCCATGTTAGTTCATTTTCATCTCAAAATAAAACCGAGGTGGCACTAGTATCTTACTAAAAAGTAGTATCTACATGTTAAGGAGAGGGGGAAAAGAAAGCAGATTTTGAAACGTTGAGTAACTTGCCTGTGGTCTCACCATGAAGTGGCAGCTGTAGCCTTGACATTGGGAGCTGTCAGTCCGTCTGGAGTGGAGATGGCTAGAGAGCAGCTGGCTACCGGTTGAAGGATGAAAATCTTAAATCTGAGTGGTTTGTGTCAGCATTTGAAGTAAGCTAGAAGTGGCGTGTTGGAGGGATGGCCTATGTTCATCTCCATTGTTCCAGGGCCAACCATAACTAGGGGTACCTCCCCTTGCTCAATAACGCTAGATTTTGACTCTTTTCTGTTGCAGTATGATGGACATTGTTGGGTTCCAAGAACATACAAATGGGCTAAAAAAGGTTTTCATGCCTTTTGTTCCTCCCTATATTCATTTCCTAGGGTTACTATAACAAAGTACCAAAAACTAGAACAACAAAATGTATTGCCTCATAGTTCTGGATGCTGGAAGTCCAAAATCAAGTTGTCGGCAGGGTCGGTTCCTTCTGGGGCTGTGAGCGCGAGTCTGCCTTTGCCTCTCATCGAGCATTTGGTGGCGTGCTGGCCATCTTGGTGTTCCTTGTCTTGTAGACACATCACTCCTGATCTCTGCCTCCATCTTCTTATGGCCGCCTCCTTGTGTGTGTGTTCGCACGTCCAAATTTCTCCGTTTTATAAAGGACACCAGTCATACTGGATCAGGACTCACTGTAATGACCTCATTTTAACTTGATTGCCTCTATAAATAAAGACCCTGTCTCCAAATAAGGCCACCTTCTGAAGTACTGGGGTTCAGACTCCATTGTATTTTTTTTGGGGGGTGGGCGAAGTTCAATCCATAACACCCCCATTAAACATAGTGCCAAATAGTACCTCCAGCTCTCGACTCGAAGGCAGGATTCTCCTCTGGCCAAGTGGCCCAGGTTTCTCCGTGCCTCTTTCTTTTGGGGTCAGTTAACAGGGCTGCCCACAGCCAAGTATCTGCTGGCCAGAGTGGAGTGGGGGTGTGGAGAGAAGAGATTTTGAGTTTTTTTTAAATTTATTACTGGGTGTAGAAATGATGAGCCCTTAATGACATCCAATAATAATTGTTTTCCCGTATTGGAGGCGTTGAGGGGTAAGTGTCCTCTTAGTTTATAACAACAAAGCAAGCAGGCAGGATTTGTAAACAGAGCAGCCTGCAGCAGGGCCTTGTGGTTTTCCAGGGCTCACAGCCCGCAGCCCTGCTCCGGGAAGTGGTACACGTTGTTAGCATACCTTGCTCAAGAATAACAGGCATTAGTCACAGTCTGTTACTTCTGCCCCTTTCCCGTGAGAAGGGCTGTCAGGGAGTAGCAGAGCCATGGCTGAGCTTTTCCTAAGGAGCTTCTGTAACAACAAAGGGGGCGTCCTGGGAAGCCTCAGACGTCCTGGGTCTTTTCAGTGTCTCAGGTCTGTGCCCCACGGGGCGGTGGGAGCAAGTGGCAGAGCTGCGGCCAGAGCCCTTCTCACTGTACCTGTGTGTTTGCAGGCACCAGCTGGAGATGCCTGGACATTACTCCCATCTGGCTGCCTTCTACGAGGACAAGAAAGGGGTGCTGCGTGCTGGTCCGGGGAGAGGCGGCAGCCTGCCCCCCGTCTGCTGGCTACCTTCCATCCACCGGTACATGTACCCTGAGATGAAGGTGAGGTCAGCTGTGCTCTTACAAGTCCTGGACTCGCATCTGGGTACAGTCGTTCTTAATTGTTTTTTTAATTAACAAGGGATTTATGTCTTGGGCTCATGCCCAAAGTCTGCTTTTGATAGAGTGGGATTCTAACCTAAGTGTTTGGGTTCTCTTAAACCATAAGGCAACTTATCATAAACAATACGCTTTCTGGACACTTCTGTAATCATGATACAAAGCTGGTGGATAGGTCAGTCATGGCGGACTCCTGGGGCAGGAGGTGGATTTCATTCTATTGATTGCTTCAGAAATTTTAAAGCCAGACGTTTGAATTAAAGATGAAGAGTGAACAGTTATTTGCTATTTCTTAGTTACAATACTTGTATTTTTTGTGATGATTATTTCTAACAAGTTATTCTTCCCTCACTTCTTCCTTTTTTTTTTTTTTTTTCCAGATCACACACCCAGCTGGCTGCATGTCTCAGTTCATTAAATTCTTTGGAGAACAGATCCTTGTCCTTTGGAAATTTGCCTTACTTCGGAAGCGCATTTTGATATTTTCTCCCCCTCCTGTGGGTGTCGTGTGCTACAGAGGTAAGCAGACACCAAGGTCAGGCTCTTCGTAAGTTCCCTGGAGCAGAAGCTGCCTGAGTCGCTCCTTTGTGGACCCAAGGTCAGGAGAGTCTGGGCCATATCCAGGGGGTCACCGGGGTTAAGCCTGGGACTGACGTGGTTGGATTTGTATTTTAGAATGTGGACTCTGGTGACAACACAGACGATCGACTGACTGGGTGACAAATCAGTAGTCTGCTGAGAGAGAAGGGTCTGGATTGAAGTAGAGGAGATGGATTCTAGATATACTTAAAGAAACTTGACAGCATTTGGTGTGTGATTGGGTTGTAAGGTTCTGATGTGTGTGAGGCTGTAATGGACGAAGAGGCTAGGGTGACAAGGATGGTGGGACCGCCAGATGGGGGACCAGGAGGAGGAGATAGGGGTGGGGATGGCAGCGTCAGCTTGGGACGCGGTGAGTGTGTGCTGTCTGTGAGGCCCTCGTGAGATGTACACGAGGCACCGGTACAGTCGGGTCAGAACCTTGGGGGAAAGTTGGGCTGGAGATAAACTGAGAGTGCTGCCAGCCATGGGGTGGGTGGCATCACTTGGGGGGAGAGTGAGTGAGGTGTGCCAGTGTTTAAAGAGGCGGGCACAGGAGGTGAACACTAAAGGTGGGAGACGTAGGAGGCTGAGGTGGGACCGTCAGAAGATGAGAGGGCTGCAGTAGGCAAGAGTTTGGAGGTCCCAGTGCCACATCCTCAGCAAGACCCAGTGAGATGAAGACTGAATTATGTCCACTGGATTTAGCAGGACATTGCTGGTATGACCTTGAGACCAGGTTCTGCTGTGGGACCCGAAAGGATCCCCCATCCCCACCCCGTCTCCTCACAGCGCAGGACCTCCTGGTTACCCAGGTACCAGGACGGCACAAAGCAAAGCCTGCCACACGTCCTGGGAGGCGACAGCTCAAGAGGCGGCGGCACGTGGGAGGGTTGGGAGGGCAGACTCCCCCACTCACCGCCTCTGTCCCCCCCTCAGTGTACTGCTGCTGCTGCCTGGCCAATGTGTCCCTGCCCGGCATCGGGGGCACCATTCCCGAGTCCAAGCCTTTCTTCTACGTGAACGTGGCTGACATCGAGAGCCTGGAGGTAGAGGTGTCCTATGTGGCCTGTGAGTATGGGGCCCTCCCTGCCTCCTGCCCACACATCCCTGCTCTGCCCTCTGACAGCCTGCCAGCTCCCCCACCGGCCCTTCTCCTCACAGACGCGGGGCCCCCAGACTCCTTGTTGTCCTGCTGGGGTCGGGCTGGCGCCCTTCAGCGACAGCCTCCGGGCTCCCATGTCCTGACCCTCGGGTCTCGCAGGCACCACAGAGAAGATATTTGAGGAGAAGCGGGAACTGTATGACGTGTACGTGGACAACCAGAACGTGAAGACACACCACGACCACCTGCAGCCCCTGCTGAAGATAAACAGCGCTGACCGGGAGAAGTACCGGCGGCTCAACGAACAGAGGTAGTGGGGCCGGGGCCCCGGCACGTGTGCCCACGTGGTGGCAGTCTCAGGATCTGGACAGCCGGGGGGGCTCTCTGTCACACCCTTTCCCTCGTGGCACATGGAGGGTGGGTGGTGAAGGGAGCCCTGCAATTGGAGACGCCAGGCCCCCAGCACCCTGTCCTGCTAGGAGGGTAGCTGGTATATGGGGTGACTTCCTTCTGAGGGACTTTGGGATCTGTGAAGCCCAAGAAAGAGAACCGGCAGTGTATGCCCCACAGTGCTGAAAACTTGCTTGTGCATTTTCTCATGTCATTCTCCAAAATTCGGTCATCCTGTGAAATAAATGGTATCATCACCCCTAGCTTATAGGCAATTAGGAGAGATTTTCACTTGCCTGAGATTACACAGGGCCGGAAGTGGCCCTGGATCCCTGGGGTTTTGAATCCCAACCCCGTTTATTCCTTTCCTGTCCCTCGTCTCCCTGCCTTTGGACCAGAGGGCCTGCTGTGGGTCACCCTCCTTCCCAGGGACGGTGGCCCGTGCAGATGCCTGACCGCTCACCGAGCTGGTGACAGAGGTCCTCGCAGCTATGCCCGAGTCTCATGGTGGTCTCCTCACAACAGGCAGATGTTGCTGTACTCCCAGGAAGTGGAGGGGGACTACAACCCGTGTGAAGAGGACCTGTTCGTGCTGTAAGTCACCTGAGGGTCCCTCAGCACTAATGCTGCAGGCCTGGGTCCTTCCCGCGTCCCCCACTGCAGGCCGGGGACGTCCTGTATTGCTGCTGTCGACGTCAGAAATATCCAAACCTGTAGAGAATTCTTAGGAGTTTACTGAGCCAACCTGATGACATATGCCGGGGAGTAAGATCTCAAATGCTCTGGAGAGTGGCAGTTTTGCAGCTTATTTATACATGAGAATCAAAGGAGGAGAGAAAACGAGGGTTACATGAAATCCGCGGGTGGTAGATGAAGGCTGTGTGAGGAAGCAGAGCAGGGAAATCTCGAGGGTTGGATGAAAGGCCCAAAGGAGAAGCATGCTTCCTTTACATTGGTGGGCACTGGATAGCTAATAGTTACCATTTACAGCACGTAGAGATGGTACGGGGACAACAAGATAACAATGAGGGGTTCTGTGGTCTCGTGCTCTGGTGCTGGAGGTTGTGCCTCTGAGGAAAAGGAAATGACTCTGACATGTCAAAGGCACGTGGTACTGGATGTGTGAGAACAGTGGACAGGCTCACTGAGGGTAGAGACTGACCTTGGCCAAGGAAGCCGGGGGCCTGGGATGGGACCGCCCGCTCCGACCGGCTCGGTTAGGGATTCGTGGTCAGACCACCCTGTGAGGTTCCTTTCGGTCACAGGGCTTGTCAGGCCTGCCGTGTGGCCCCCTGAGCTTGGCAGGTGTATTGCATAGCCCCTTTTCCGTTCACACTGTCAGGGACACTTAGAGCTGGGCTCCATACCATCGGCCCTGAACCCTGAAATGCTGGTAGTGGGGGACCCTGAGGAGTTAAGTACAGAAGCAGGGGAAGGTTATTGACAGAAAATGGGGGTCCTGGGGCTTGTCTGTCTGCTGGGCACTGCACAAAAGCTCTGTCTGTCCCTCAGGGTTCAGGGACTTCTCATCCGTTGCTTCCTTTGAAGAGAGGTGTTCCTTGCCCTGAGTATTCTGGGATAATCTGAAAATTTAACTCTTGAACCTAATGAAACCCCCTCCAGATCTGTTGGTGGTCAGGGTGGGAGCCCTGGCCTTCATACCTTGATTTCATTCATAAGCAGCTGTTGAAATCATGCTTGGTGATGAGAACAGAATTGCAGTTGAAACGGAAACAGTTCTCCCAGCTTCCTGTTTGGTCTTCCTGCCCCGTGTGCTGGGATGGGGGTGGGGGAATTGCACTGGTAGTTAGAACCGTTTCTAGCTTTGACACTGAAAACTTAAGGTTGACATTTCAACAATGGCACAGTGCTGTGATTCGAAGAAAGTGTTCTTTGTAAAGCATACTCGCTGTTCAGGGGTAACAGTGTCTGGAGATTGAGCACAGAGCCTGTGGTTTCCCCAGGTTTGACACATTCCATTGTGTGTGAAAATCCTGGGCTTCCAGAGTTTCTGTGGACACCAGGCGCCTCTGCTGACCCCACAAGCTCTGTGGAGCACAGCTAGTGCCTTCTGTCTGTGAACATGGTCCATATATTCATGTAGTACTTCCTGTAAATCAGCGACATTTAGACCGTGCATGTGCATAATTTAAAAAAAAAAAGTAATCGAAGGAAAACCAACACCCAAGGATGATGGTGAGCTATGACAGTATAGGAACCTACAGCCTGACTCCGTATCTCCGTTACTCTTCACGTCCAGCGTTTCTGGCGTTCAAACATCCCCGTGCCTCCTCTGAGCTCCGCTGTTAATGTGGAAGGTCAGGGTCACTGTCAGCCTTGCACGGTCTGCGGTGGCTCAGGGGCTGGCGAGCCATGTCAGAGCCCGTCTCTCTCTAGTGAGCTCGCCTCGGCGGCCGCTGTCATTACCTAGCCGGGCCTTGGGAGGCGCCTTTCAGTTCCTCATTTGAAGCTTTGACCTCAGAGCTGCATTAGCAGTTGTTTTGTTTATAACTTCCCCTTATGATGAAGCAGAAAGAAAGGAACACAGGATCTGGGGGCCTCTTCCCTGAGGCTGTGTTTAAACCTCTAGTAACCTCTCAAGAGGGAAACCCACTTTTTTGGCAACCAAGCCATCCAGCACTTGCTCAGAGATTTTTGCTGGTCGTACCGTGATTCACGCCAATGGTTTCTTTGCTGGTCTTCCTTTAACTTTGATCCTGCTTTCTTGCTTGAAAAGATACTTGAGTTTTGAAACCATTTTAAACGTATATGAAACAAAACAGCGTCGTATTGGTTCCCCACATATGGACTGCTGGCGAGCTTGCTTTCTGTTCTGCCCTTCCTCTCCCGTGTCTTGCAAATGCAGGTTTTTCCTGGAGCAGAACAACCGGATATTTCAGACTTTGTTGGAGGTGTCCGCCAGTCAAGACAAAACTCTGACAGCCGAGCACGCCCGGGTCATGGGTCTGGACCCCCAGGGAGACCGCAGCTTCCTGCTGGACCTGCTGGAGGCCTATGGCATCGATGTCATGTTGGTCATTGACAACCCCTGTTGTCCATAGGAGGAGTCAGCCCGGACTGGTGAGCCGCTCCCGTGGGGACTCACCCCAGGCCCCAGAGGACTCGTTTTTTTTATTCAGTACGAAGGAATATTGTTTCTACTTCCCAACAAATGTAATTTTTGCAATCTCCTTTCCTCCCATGCTCCCTAGAGGTAAGAGGAGACTGCCATAGCTTTGTGTCCTGCTGTGGCAGGACGCCGGAGTCGACCACCTTCTCCCAGGGTGGCTGCCTGGTTTGCTCATCGGCGTTCACAAAGTTGACTGTCTCGTGTCCTTGTTGAGTGACGTCAGGGGGTGTGGCGAAGGCCACAGGTCATTAGGAGCCACCCGAGCCCTGGAAACACTGGGTGGACCGTTCTGGAAATCTGTCTGGTCTGTGTCCCTTGATGTAGTCACGAGTGAGACAGCTGTCTGCCCAGTGTGGCCTTGGATGTCCACCTGCCCACAGGTGGAAGCTAGACCAGGTGACCTTCCATTTTAGCTCTGGGAGTCCAGTCTTGGGACCAGGTCTCCTTTTTCCTGTGTATTAGGACAAAGCTGCGTCTTCCCTGTTCACATGAGTAGAGACCCCAACGTGGGACAGAAGGATGTTTCCGACACCAAGTTTGAGCTTCTCTCAGGACAGGATGACAGGGAGAGGCTGCTTGTCAGCCAGCTGAACACTACAGTGTTAGAATGAAGCCTTGAATCATTCCTCACAGTAAGTTAACGGGGACCACTCCATGTAATATTCCTCTTTCTTGGAATCGCCACCTCTTGAGATGGGTTGACAAATTCCCAAGGACCAGTGCCGGCCCTGAAGCTTGCAAGCACATGCATCTTCCACTTTAGTCTCCTTTAAGGGCTAAGCATCCTCTGGGAGTAATTTGGGTATTTTTAAAGAGTAGCGGGTGCGGCCACCAGAAGCGGACCAGTTGAGGCAGAGGATAGAGAAGAGGTTTCTTCAGCCGGACAGCAGTCCTCAGGAGGAGTTACTGGCAGAAC